GCGTTTGTAAATACAGTATTTCAGATATATGTAGTCTTTTCATCTTTAAATCTGACCAGAACACTACAGCGGCAGAAGCAATACATAAAGAAGCTCATACTTTGATTTTTACTATTATGCTCTGATGTTGGAATGGAACTAGTTTCAACTAAACCTACAGAGCCAACATGTATGTATCGAATAAAAGGCTATTCATTTTATTTTTTTACTCTTGTTTTTTGTTCGTTTGTTTATGACAGGCATATATGACTGTGTGCAAGATGACAAAAAAAAGCATCCGTTTTGAATGTTATCAGCCATTAAATGGCCGTTGTTATTATCTCCATATGTAGCGTTCAGACTGCCCCTCCTGCACCTCCTAGTGGGTTTAAAGGTACGTTGTTAGCGCTGATAACAGGATCACGTGGTTAGGTTCAGAGTAAAGGGTCTGGGGGTTAGTTTTAGGCACAAGGGTAAGGGGTAGGCCTGTCGCGATAAACAATAAATCAATTAATCGCATGATAAATGAAAATTATCAACCTCATTTTCATTAATCGGCTTTATCGTTTCTTCATGTCTCTCTCGTTTTACTAGACACTGGATGACAAAAGGTTCAACTCCGGTGCTCTTCACTGACCATTCCCTTTCTCTTTAAAATCCATTTTAACCGTCCAAAATCACATTTTCAGATAAAAGCAGCTAAGCTGAGAAGCTAAGCTACGAGCTAAGCTAACAGTCTGACCTCGGGGAGAAAACCTCCGTCTTGTCAAAGCGCCAAAATTCACGGTTGAAACCCGTGCCTTCGTGTAAAAAGTTAATTTTCTCTGAAAAAATAAGCTGAAAACTTGTTTAATGATTTTTTTAAATTAAAATCTTTGTGTGACAAATTCTATGCTAAAGAGCTCAAACCACACCGAGCGTCCGAAATTTTGAGAACCGAAGAGACAGCACATGTCACGTCAAGGGGCCTCCCGCCCATTTTTCTTAAAGAGACACGCTGCTCGCTCCCTTACTATCCATCCTTTGGTTCAAACAAACTTATACTGTCATCCGGTGGTCCAAAATGGTACTACACATACAAATTAACCAACATTTCTTAAATTTGACAATAATTAGTAATTATTGTCAAATTTCAAACAATATTATTGTTTATCGCAATAATTTCGGAGACAATTAATTGCCCAGCAAAATTTGTTATTGTGACAGGCCTAGTAAGGGGGTTAAGTCAGGGTGAGGTGTAAGGTTAGGTTTAGGAAAAGCGTTACGTAAGCTAACAAAAAAAAACAAACACTTCCTGGTTTACCAGCGTGCGACGCTGCATATGATCAGCGATAATAACGTACCTTTAAACCTACTAGGAGGTAGGAGGGACAGTCTGAATGATACGTATGGGGATGAGAACAACTTATAACGGACCATTTGAAGGGCTGACAACATCCAAAACCACTGCAAAAAAAAAAAAAAAAAAAAAAAAAAAAAAAAAAAAAAAAAAAAAAAAGAGAAAACAAACACAAAGAAGGACAAAAGACGAGGAAAATGTAGAAAAAGAGTGAAAAGTTGGAGAAATAAACGGAGCGTTGGAGACGGACGCAGAAAGAAAGACGATAAGTTTGACTCAGGCAGCGTGATTCTGGATTGTGGGTTTTTGCTGTCAAGTTTGTGTGTTGCATGATCGTAACCATTAAATCCTCCTGTATTTACCACCAGTCTGACAGCTGTTTTTTTACGTTTGTTCCTTCTCAGTTTAAACAAAAAAACATTCGCGACAGTCACTTGGTCATACAAGCATCATTGGAACAAAATGTGCAGATTGGCTTAAGTTTCATTCATTTTTTTTTTCCTTTTCTTTTGCGTTTGTTTTAAATCGTTTCCAAAAAAGGGTTCCAGACAGAGTGGCTACAATAATATTAATAATAATATAATAATAATAATAATAGCACTTGACTTCACTTCAGCACAATAAAAAAAAAGAACAAAAACAAGGTTCCAAAGGTGCTTTTCGTGTTTCTTTTTTTTTTTTTATCTGATTTAATTTGAAGCGAAGTCCCCCCCTCCCCTTTACCTCCTCCTCCTACCCCCTCCTCTCAGCGGGGAGGTGGCAGGCGGAAGTCCAGTGCCGGTCAGACGAAAAAGAAGTGACTGAATTATTGCCAACTGGTCTGTCTTTTTTTTTTTTTGTAGTGGTTCAGCAGAAAGAGGAAAAACTATACTGTATATATAAAAAAAAGGGCAAATAATAACTCACACATGTGTACCACTGCTGGCACCAGGTTTGCTTAAAAAGTCCATCAACAAAAAGATACAAATCAAAATGTTAAAAGAGCCGAGAGAGGAACTGAGAGAGGGTTTACAAAATAAAGTAAAGAAAAATTAGGAGGGATCTGGGGGGACGAATTGCTCCCATTTTACAAAATGTAACAAAATCTTTGCGCAAATTTTACAAATGTCTCAATACAGGGAAAAGAAAGAAACATATATATCCTATTTACAAGGAGAAGAAGAACCCTTTTATTTTGAAAGTGTAGTGAAAATGCAGCAGATCCCAGCTTTGGCACGCGGCGTGTTTGACGTCTTTTTTTTTTGTTGTTTTTTTGTTTTCAGTTTTTCTTTTCCTCGGTCGTTTCGAATCCACCCTGTCGCTCGGTGTGTACAGTCTGACTGCTGCAGGCACACATTCAGTGCTCCGGTTCACCTTCCTCCTCATCTCCATAGCAACGCAGGTCACGCACAACATCACCTCAGCCACGTCCGGCCGTCCATCCAGCCGCCGAGTTCACAACCTACTAATCCCTGCTTCCTTCAGACGGACTTCACGGGGAAGGGGGGGGGGGGGGGGGATTTAAGAGGCTTTGAAGGGGTTGAAAGTAAAATGCAGATAATGAAGTGAATTCAGTACCGGTGGTGTTCAGAATGTAAACAAACAAAAGACGGGACGATAAGACCACTTCTTTCGTCGGAGAGAGTTAAGATACAAATCTTCTAATTAAAGGGGAAGGACAAATCTTTTTTTTTTTTTTTTTTAAAGCTAAGGTTATTAGTGCAAAGCAACTAAAGGGAAGTCGTCTGAACTTTTCAAATGCACATTTGATCCTTAAAGTGGAGCTCAAGAATCCCACTCAGTGAGCAGATTTGAGTTCACGCGTTTGCATAGGCAAAGGAGCGATGAGAACCGCTAACATTTGTTAGCATTTTTCAGCTCGCAAGTCGTTTTCTTTTTGGGTGCATGAAGTAAAAGGGCATTACGACGGAGCTTCAGGGCCACGCTAAGAACAAATAAAACTAAAATGATGAGAATAAAGTCGTAGTATTATGAGAATAAAGTCGTAGTATTATGAGAATAAAGTCGAACAAAGTCTTAATATTATGAGAATAAAGTTGTACGACTTTTTTTTTTTTGCAGCTCTTTTTTTCCACGAGTCGGATCCACGATGAGACCTGTCAATCAATCCAGTAGGCGTCAGCAAATGACAAATCCGAACCAGAATGAGTCGTAATACTGTCCGAACTCCGACACGATAAAGCAGGTTTATCGCATTTTAACTGTGGTAAAATGAAGAATGTTGAGCATTTTAAGTTATACTTTGGTACTGGTTTTACAAATAAGGAGATAGTTAATCTGTGAGCACATCAGCATCAGATTATCATCAGCATCAGGATTTGAACCGGCTTAGTCAGGTGGTGCGCTCTGATGGGCTGCAGCAGCTCTGCAGGTAAGGAGCATTTAGCTTCGGATTGGTCAACTGCTGACACGCCTCCTGGATTGATTGACAGGTCGCGTTGTGGATCCGACTCGTGGAAAAAAATAAATAAATGAGAGCTATAAAAAAAGAAGTCTTGAACAACTATTCTCGTAATTTCAAGACTATTCGACTTTATTCTTGTAATACTACGACTTTATTCTCGTAATTTTAAGACTATTTGACTTTATTCTCGTAACACTACGACTTTATTCTCGTAATTTTATGGCTTTTAATTATTATTTTTTTCTTAGCGTGGCCCTAAAGCTCCATCGTAGCGCATAATATAGAGAATGGAAGTGGATCGTAATAATTCAAATAAAAAAAATCCAGCTGTGACCTCGTCAACGGGCTGCAGGGTGCTCGGAACAACGGACGCACTTTATGAAACTAAACGCACAACTAATAGAGGACGTTACATTTATGCACCAAGAACCGTATTGTTCGGACTATAAGGCACACTTAAAATCCTTTAATCTTAAAAATTGACAGTGCGCCTTATGTATTAACTCTGGTTGTGTTTACTGACCTCAAACTGATTTTATATGATTATTGTGAATGAGTTGAATAAAGTTTGACTTATCTGTTTTGTTTTGCTTAATGTGTCTTATAGTCCAAAAAAAAAAATAAAAAAAAAATACAGTATATGTTTAGAAAGTCATAAAGAAATTGTTGAGGACTTGAAGCACAGCCTCACTTATTTACAGAGACCAAAAAAAGTTTCTTCTAGAAAAACAAAATGCAGAACTTGCAAAAAGTTGAAAACTTGAAAAGATTAATTAAAAATAAAAAGTTCAGCAGGTTGATTCAAATCAAATGACTTTTTTTTTTTAAAAAGGCTTACAAAATCAGACCTCCCGTTTTGTTTTTATAACACTTGTTTTTTTTTAAAAACTCTCATCCTTGAACAAAGTTAAATTACAAATATGAGATCTACTGTGCGGGATGAACATTTTTCAATTATCTTCACAGATTGTGACCCTGAATTCCTTCTGCACTCCCCAGATTTTAAAGCGGGTGCACGCTTGCTCCCGTCCCCAAACAAAACCCTCCCGATCCAGAAGGCCCGTCTCGCTCCAGCTCGTGTTTTTGTCGCAGGGGGTTGCTTCGGGTTAAGAACACGGACGAGATTGCATCGAAAAAGGACAGAGAAGGATGTTGTGCGTGACCTCGGATGCGACAATCAAGAGATAAAAATCAGTTTTGGACAAAAAAAAAAAAAAAATACAGTACGATATCTGTTAATAAAAGAAAACAACTTTTTTTGTTGCTCCGTTCTTCAGATTCTTTCCTCCTTTATGTTTCCAGCAGCATTGGTGGCGGTGAAATCCTATTCGCACCTGAAGTGAACAGAGAGGAGGAAAAAAAAAAAATAAGGCTTTGAGAACTTAATTTTTATTTTAGCGAAAGGCAAAATGTCAGTTTGACATGAACTCAGATGATTTCTATTGCAAACACAAACTTAACTAAATTTAACTTGAATGGAGAGGAATTCAAAAAGCAAACATTGAGCTTGGAGCAGAACACAATGTGGAAAAATGCATTTCACGTTTAAAGAAGTGTTTAAAGCTGTGTTTGTGCGATTTAAACAAAACTCACAGAGTGATTATAAAAACTAATCAATACACATTCAAATTAATACACAGTGATTTCCATTGTCCAATATAAATTATTTTATTTTTTTTAAACCTTTCCTTTAAGGTAGAATATCTTTTTTCCATCTTTTATCTGAAAGGATTACCATATTTTTCAGCCTGTAAGTCGCAGTTTTTTGCATAATTTACATGCCCTGAAACTTTTACGCTGAAGCGACATATTTTTGGATTTTTTCCCATATTTATAAACCATTTTTTGGATGAGATTTGACCATTTTTATTCATTCTGACAGAAAAAAACAATTGAAAAGTACCACTTTCAGCCACTTGATGGCAGCAGAGTAGTAGTGGATGTATGGCATACCGCTGTATCATGTAATAGGTAAACGTGGCAATAATGGCAAATTCAAAAATGTTCAAGACAAAAACAACTGGACTTTATTTATCGTACTTTATACATTATTGCTTTTTCTTGAATTTTTTTAATTTACCATGTCCAGGATGACTGAGAATCGTCACCAGCTTTTAATGATACAATCAGCTTGCCATAGATCCCCACCTTCATTCTGCTTGCTGCTTGGAACCGTCAAATCAGCTGCACCGCCCCGGCGAAATGCAGCTAATTTGACCATTACAGTGCATTTATTAAGCAAATGTTAGACCGAGACACACATTTACTTTAATGTCGAACAAACAAATAATTGTTTTTAGGTGTTTATCTTGTTAAATTTGCACAGCGACTCGTCGCGTGCACGCATTTACTTCCGCGTATCGGGCTTTGAAATGCAGCTGATTTGACCGTCTAAGCAAACGTTAGATTGAGACACGCATTATTGAGCAAATAATTGTTTTTAAATGTTAATCTTGTTAAATTCTTGTTAAAGTCTTCCTGTGCACACTCCCGCGGCCGCCATTTGGCAGCCAAGCGATTTTTGGCACAACACCGGCCCACGTTTCCAGGTTGTCAGCGGTGACGCCGTAACAATTGCGACGCGTCAGAGGTGACACATAATAGATGCAATGTCTACGGCGGCGAAGCAACATATTTATGGACTTTTCCACTTTATTAGACAAATATGGACTGATGCAACTTATAGGGTGGAGCAAAGTGTTGGGCGGAAAATATGGTAATTTTAGCTTTATAAAGTAAAAAAAAACAGAGTTTTGAGCTGAAACCAACTTAACATGTGATAGGAAATCAAAATAATATTCCATATTCAGAATTTTAATGTGAATTTTATCTATAAACTGCATAAAATATTACAAAACTAATATTATGTCAGGGAATTTTTGGTCAGAGGTTATGAATGTTTTTATTACTATGGCTGAGAGCGTTCTTCCCCTCTGTCCTGAGAGCAAGAAGCCCCAAATGAGCAGAAAGCGTCTCCGGAGACACTATCTTACCTCTGCCCATGAACCATATGTTTGTGTAGACGGAGAGCGCTGTAAGGAGGCTGCAAGAACCCCTCCTGAACTCTGTGAACTCTGAGCTGACAGGAGAGTAAACGTGAGCAGAAAACGCGGCTCGTGGCTTTTTTCTGCGACCAGTTCTCATGCGTATACATCTATGCATGTTCATGTACATGTATATGTATGTAACCTCTCCTGAAATCTGACCTTGCAAGGATAATATCGGTTAAAATACTTCGCCTGCCGTTGAGTGTGGTTCTTTTGGGTCAACAATGTTAGTGAGAGAGATTTTCTCCATCATGTTACTTTGATTATTTTAATCAAACTGCTGTCTTTGATTTTGATGAATTTGAAGAACGAAATCCATCCATCCATCCATCCAGCCTCCGCTTGTTCCAAAGTTGGGTCGTGGGGGCAGCAGCTTGAGCAGGGAGGCACAGACATCTCTTTCAACATCCACCTCTTCCAGCTCTTCTGGAAGGACCCCAAGGCGTTCACAGGCCAACTGAGAGACATACCGGTAGTCTCTCCAGTGTGTCCTGGGTCTTCCCCAGGGTCTCCTCCCAGTGGGACATGCCCTAAGCATCTCCTGAGGGAGACGCCCAAGAAACATCCTTGCCCGAACCACCTCAATTTCTCACCCTATCTCTAAGGGAGAGTCCAGCTACCCTGCGGAGGAAACTCACTTCAACCGCCTGTATCCATGATCTCAATCTTTCGGTCACTACCCAGAGTTTGTGACCATAGGTGAGAGTAGGAACGTAGACTGACAGGAAAACGGAGAGCTTTGTCTTACAGCTCAGCTCCCTCTTCACCACAACGGACCAGCACAGAGTCCACAATACTGCACCAATCCGTCTGTCAATCTCACACTCCATTCTTCAGTCACTCATGAACAAAACCCAGAGATACTTGAACTCCTCCACTTGAGGCAGAACCTCACCCTCGACCTGAAGACAGCAACTCACCCTTTTTTCAACCGAGGACCACGACCTCAGATCTGGAGGTGCTGAACGAAAATGTGAACAGAGAAACACCCATTTTTCTTCAGTGTAAGGGAGAAACACATTTCACCTTTTGATTTAACTTGACTTGGACTCCCCCCACTCTGGACTTTAAATCAGGATGTTTTTCAAACCAAAGTCGTATGAACTGTGCTAGCAAATAAATAAAAAGAACAAAAGTTGTCACTACAGTTGTCAATTCTAATCTAAAGTATGTACAATTAGTGTTATTGTTGGTTGACAAGCTTAAGAAATGCCTAAATCAGTGTTGGATTTCTCTGTTAAAACATTTCATCGTCACTCCAACCAGTTATGTGTACTTCTATGCATTTGGATTTTAATGTCAACTTCTATTAACAACCAGAAACAAAGATATTTGTCAGTTTCCTGCAAGTCAGATAACGTTACACACTACATACGAGTATACTCACACTGCGTACATATACATAAAAAACATGGCATTTTGGTGTCCCATATCAAAAGGGAACAATTTATTCAATAACCAGTCTCCTTATGTTAAATAATAAATATAAGAAAGCAACATATAAAAACAAAGATGCATTATGATTCGAGGTTGTTCCATAATTTCATAATGTTGGGAAAAAACAGAGATCAATACGACAAATTAAAGACAAATAATGAGCAATAATTCTGTACCGTGATTTATTTACTCCTGCTATGAGCTGGATACATCAAGTGTCAATCAAATTTAGAGGAACGTTCAATGGAGCGGTCAGATTCCTCTTCCAGCTGCAGCTCAGACACTTACTAATAAAAAAAAGTGCACTGATTTGGACGACATGGCGCTCATTGTGCTTTACAACACAGAACAGCAGAAACATATTAAATATTTTCAACAGCCTCTTTTAATAAAACGCATCACATTCCAATTTTGAAGTCTGCGGATGCTTTGAAAGGATTTTTTTGCAGCACTTTCTAGCTTTCTACACTGATTACTTATTTTCAGTTTGAATGCGCTCCTCTGACATTACAGTTAGAAAATAACAGATCTGAATAACGCCAGGAGTGTTAAGTTTAAGCCTTCCAAAATTTGAAATCTGCTTTATACCTATCACGGCGTGCACATGCTTTTCTACTACAACTGACAGGAACAAAACAATATATTACGAACGTTTTAATTTAAAATTGTGGATCCTTTAAAACAGGTAATTCTTTTTTAGTAACTAATGCATCTGTGTTTTACATCCAAATGATAATAAACAAAGAAGCGCTGCAATATTTTTGGCAATTAAGTCTCCATCTATAAGCTGCAGCTGTTGATAGGTTATTATGGGACACGGCGCCGAACTCCACTGATTAAATGAAGAAGCCTCGAGCGGCTATGATTAGTGAGACAGGACAATGGCTTGCGCACACACACGCGCGCGCGCGCGCGCGCGCGCGCGCGCACATGCACAGATAAGCCGGGGATATCGTACAACATTCATTTTCACTGCAGGAATCTGCTCCATAAATTGTGAAGACTTTCTTTCTATTATAATTATTCTTCATCATTTTTCTCGACAACATTTTGCTGCGGTGACCTCTGACCCCCGATGTTTTCAGTGACGAGACCGCAACAAAACAAAGGAGAAAATCATTAAAGTCTAGCGTCTAAACTAAGCATAAATTAATATTTTAGGTTTCTGCTTTTACAAACCTAACTCTCTAAAATGTGTTCGGCCAGTTATTTTGAAATGCCTTTGCAGATTTTGTGTAAATATTTCAGGTATTTATTATAATAGTTGCCAATAAGATTTTTTAGCCACTTTTAACAATTTATTTTGCCCTTCACCTAATAAACAAAAACATCAGAACTAAAACAATTAAGAATGTATATTTAAATTAGAGCCTGACCGATATGGAAATTTTGGCTACCACCGATGCGATAATGGGCGGAGAAGGCGACCGCCGATAATCAATATAATGCCTGAAAATTTTTCAGCTTCGTCCACCCCCAAGAATCGAAGTAAACAGTGTTTGGAGCGGGGCTTGTTTATTTAGCGCAGCTGTTAGCAACCATGAAGCTAAGCTAATCAGATCCACACTATACGTAGTCCCACACTAGGTTTACAAGGGGTGCACCGGTCATTAAAAAAAAGTCTTCCTAACTTGTGTTCACATTTCCTGTCCTCCACTTTTCACCATAAAGTTATCAAGTGTGTTACAAAAATATAAATTAAACAAAGAAACACCCTTCCCTGTTCATTGTTTAAACGTCACTTATGTTGAAGGCCTAATTAGCATTGACTACAGCAGCGTTTATTAATTTTTTTCTTTGCAGGGAAGTAAAAATTTCAGACTAACAATGCATTTCATTGAGAACGACAA